TATATTTTTGACTTTTCGACAAGTACTTTTCGAAAATATGTTTTATCACCCAAATTTTAAGAGTAAAAATATACTTTTGAATAGTATTTTTTGGGAGATAAAAAGAATACTTTTTGAAAGTATTTTTCAGAAACATGTTTGTTTGTAATTTGCATTATCCTAATTTAAACTTGAATAGGAAATATATATATATATATATATATATATATATATTTCTGGGATTTAGTAAAGTTAATTTTGTTGTTTTTTCATTGCATATCCCTGTGCTTCCGGCTATAGGCTGCTTAAAAGAGAAAGAAAGAAAGAAAAAAACTTAAATGCATATGAAACGTGTTTAGCAACTATATATGGCCTCTATACTTTCCCTTCAAACAAACAGGGACAAATTAATTTGCTATGCATATAAAATGACATTTCGTGTTAATAAATGTGAACAATAGATGTAAGGTGCAAATAAATTGACTTAACTCACTTGGTTGGCCAACTAAATTAGCCTTTTGCTTTTATAAAATTAAAGATGATTAGATCATCAGAACAAGGAAATAATCTCATATTTCAGTTTTTTTTTAGGGAAAAAAACGTATATGTTTAAGGCAATAGTTTAAATTTGTATGCAATTTTTTTTCTCTGAAAAATAAATTATTTTTATGAATCTGAAAATTTAAAATATATGATTATTTATTAATTGTCTCTCCTTTCCTCCCTCTTTGTCAAAAAAAAAACTCTTTAAAACTTATTTATGACTTTTTTTTATTATTTTAAATAAAATTAAATATCTCAAGATTAGTATTCTCATTCTGATTATAACAAAATCGATTATAAAAATATCTAATTTTCACATATTTTTCATTAATAGGTCTTAGGTTTAATTACGGAGAATAAATTATTAATAGGTGATATATAATCTTAGTATAAACTTTAATATGATTGGTTTTAATTTTCTAACCTTGCATGGAATCGAACGAACGTTACGAAGCTTCCTTGATCTAAATTTTTGTGCACCAAAATTAAAAACCAATTGTCTACAAATGAACAAATATTTCCGATATCCCATGCAATAATGTAATAAGGCTCTTTTATTTTTACAAATATTCTTTACCTTTGTCCCATGTGTAGATGGGTGAGTGAATGGATAAAATAATAGAGCTAGTAGGCTGTCTATCTTGGACCAGAAGAAAAATTTTATTCACTATATTGTAATGCAAGACCATCCTTTCTCTAAATGCATCAATATCAATGTAAAATTGGCTCATGGATCCCTATTCATTTTCCGACAACTCAACATTGAAATCCTTCACTTCCCTTCCATTGGTTGGCTAAAGACAAGGCAATGGTTAAAAAGAAAAATTAATCAAAAATCTTTTTTTTTTTTTTGTCAAGATATCTCTCATCATCTGAACTAAAATCTAAATCCTAAACTAAAGACTAACAACAACTAATTTATTTATAGGAATATGTAATTCTCATTGATCTAAAAGATTTTTACATATAATGAGATAAATTGTAAATAAAAAAAATCATGCAATAACATACTTTATCGTAACATAATATTTATCAATAAAAATTATTTTTTCTTATTTTATTAATTGGTATATGTTGATAAATATAGTCACATAATTGTTTTAAAAATATAAATATAAATTATAGTAATACATAATATATATTATTAAATTTATACAACATTAATACTAAAATTATTTATAAGTATATATATCAAATAAATCATGTCATTATATGTCATCGAATTTCATTTAATTTGATTATAAGTAAATTAATAACCTCACTTCATCACCCCTTGAGTGTGGCTTCACTATAATTTTCGATGCATTATTGTCAGCTTCCCATATGGACTTTCCCTTCAATTTATTTATCAAGATCTCCAAATCTCATTAAAAAAATGCAGAATAGATAGAAAAATCTCTAGAGTATTTGATGAGCCCCAAATATTTGTATCACCCTGGCCAGCCAACACAACACACTCTTCCCACTAGCCATGTGACGTGAATGAGTGAGATAGTGGAAGTGTTTTCTTTATATTTCCACCACCAAAAATCTGCACTATGTCTATGCTATTCTGAATGTATCATTCTTTTAGGCGTACGCCACTATCTATGTGTTTTTATTGCTTCCTGCCCCCTCATTAACTATTCCAAGTCAAACCTGATCAATTATGCACACTACTAATAAGCATTGCTTTCTGACAGTTGACATTACTTGTTTGCCATATAATTATTTCATCTACACAAATAGTGTTTCAAACGCAAAACATTCTAGCACGAAACTTTTGTAGATGTCATACTTTGTACGCCAAATTAAGAAATGGTGAAATTATAGTGGAATTTAAAGTGCATATACATTGGATGTGTAATTATTTTCCATCATGATTTCATAATACTGAATAATATTAAATTAGGTAAAATGGAATGAACCTTGGACTTTAGTATGAATCAAGATACAAAATATCAGTCAACGGAATTGATGAAGGGTCTTTGGACCAAGGAAGACTGAAATTATTTAGCCACATACTTGAACACATTCTATTGCTAATCATCACTAATATAGTCCTAATGAGATCACTAATCTGTCAAGTTTTACCTTTTTTTTCTTCATTTTTTTACTTGTGGGTATGCGTGGTGCATGTGAGAGTCTAGATAGAAATGAAAATTCTTAATGAAGCTGGTTAATTAATCATAGGAACGAAACAAACAAATCAATATGAACAAAACAAAAAAAATACAAATTTCAAAAAAGAAAGAGCCAATAATTACATGGCCCTCCCTCTTCATAGAATATAACAGCATCTAAGAAAAAGCGTTTGTGTGCATCCAAACACAACAGAAAAGGTCTCTTTTACCAACTAAGAAAATCAATAATACACCAGCAGAAGCTTTTCTAACCCCGAAAAGTTAAATAAATATACAAAACAAAGTGCATAAACCCCCATTCCCCACACCTTATACACCATCATAAAGTAGAATAAACTATACTTATCATAAGTGGTAAGAAATTATATTCTTTAAATAAATTGTTTTGAATGAGGGTCTTGAATTTGAAAAAAGTATACTCGTCATATGTATATATACTGATATTTACTCACGATTTTTAACAGGAATTGATAACCGTTTTCAATGCCAGATACTTCGAAACAATATCATTTACTTAAAAAGAAAAAAAAAATGACAAATGTTGATGATGAGTGAAGCTTCTACGCGCTTTTGGAGCGACTGAATCCTAACCAGAATTGACAATAAACCAACCCTCTGACGCCACAATCTACCACACTCAGCCACTACAAACTGCATGTGGGTCTAAACTTTAAATACTTTAACCACACTTAACTCTCAACCTTCTCTTTCTAATTACGTCTTCACTCTTCACCTTCACACATTCTAATACCACACTCTCTCTCAAGACCAACACCACCATTATTTCTCTCTTTCTCTTTCATGCGTTATCGCAAACACATGGAGCTCACCACCTAGTTCAACTTCAAACCCGTCGAAACTCCCTCACCCACCAAGAAAAAGCCACGACCCATTTCACCAACCTCCATCTCCTCCAACCCCATCAAGCCAAAACCAGTGTTTTCTTCCATGGCCCTCGAGACCTGGCTCATCAGAGTGAAAACGGCCTTGTCGCAGAGGAAACCCTTGTTCTCTTCGTCGAAGCCGAAACGCGTGGCCGTTTTGTCGTTCGAGATCGCGAACGTGATGTCGAAGCTCCTCCACCTATGGCAGTCCCTCTCCGACGCCAGCGTCGTTCGCCTCCGAAACGACGCCGTCGCGCTCGAGGGCGTGCGGAAGCTCATTTCGAACGACGAGTCGTTCCTTCTCAGCCTCGCCGTGGCCGAGTTCGCCGACTCGCTCCGACTCGTCGCCGACTCGGTCTCCCGACTCAGCGAAAACTGCCACGACCCCTCCCTCCGATCCTTCCACCGAGTCTTCACCGAGTTCGCCAACTCGGGCCTCGACCCGCATAGTTGGACCCTCGCAACCCCCAAAGACATCGAAACCAAACACCGAAAGTTGCAACATTACGTGACTCTCACGGCAACGCTCCACAAAGAAATCGACGCGCTCACGCTCCTCGAAAGCGCGTTCAAAAAAGCACTTCTCAGCAACACTGACACGAAAAAACTCCACGACCTTCAGCAGAAGATCTTCTGGCAGAAGCAAGAGGTGAAGAATCTAAAAGAAAGATCCCTTTGGAACAAAAGCTTCGATTCCGTTGTTTTATTGCTAGCAAGGTTCGTTTTTGCCGTTTTAGCGAGGATTAAGGTTGTCTTCGGAATCGGACACAGTAGTGTCCCCTTTTTGTCGCGTAGTTTGTCTTCCGTTTATCCCTCCGATCATCAAAACCCTATTTCCAATTCTTGCTCCTCCGTTTCCGGGCCGTTGAAAAGATCCAAACTTGGGGAGGAAAATGAAGATTTGGGAAGTGGATTCTTTGAGTCAAATTGCAAGGTGTTAAAGTTGAAGAAAGATGGTGAAGGTGAAGGTGAAAGTGAGAGTTTGGGTGCTTCAGGTTTGGCTTTGCACTATGCGAACTTGGTGATGGTGTTGGAGAAGATGATAAAGTCACCCCAGTTGGTAGGGTTGGATGCAAGGGATGATTTGTATGGGATGTTGCCAAGTAGCATAAGGGCATGTTTGAGGGGAAGGTTGAGAGGGGTGGGGTTGTCTGCATGTGATGATCATGTGTTGGCTGGGGAGTGGAGGGAAGCATTGGGGAGGATTTTGGGGTGGTTGGGACCTTTGGCACATAACATGATCAAGTGGCAGAGTGAGAGGAGCTATGAGCAGCAGAATAGTTTGGTGCCAAAGACCAATGTGTTGTTGTTGCAGACTTTGTTCTTTGCTAACAAGGAGAAGACAGAAGCTGCCATCACTGAGCTGCTTGTGGGGTTGAACTATGTTTGGAGATTTGAGAGGGAAATGACAGCTAAGGCATTGTTTGAATGTACCAAATTTAATGGCTTGTTAAGCTTGCACAAACCCAGTTAAGGACATGGGTTTCTACATTCATTTTGCTTTTGCCTTTTTTTCTGTTTTTTTTTTTTAAAAAAAAAACCATCATGATCAAGGTTTTAAAAAATGGTCCATGACTACGATTTTGGTCACAACATTAATGATGTATTTAAAAACTAGTATCTGGAGAGTTGTTATTATGTTTGTGTATTGAAATCTGAAAAATACTCTATTCAAGGTTGTTTAAATGGATTTCCAAACATAGAGAGGATTTTCGAATCACCACAGTTGCAATTTTGGATGCGTCATTTCCAGTGAGATTAAGGATCTTGATTTCCATCCGCATTAAGAATTGTGACAAAATTGTAACTGCGACTGCAATTTAAAACTTTGATGATGATCTTTCTGGTGCCTCGATGAGGGTTCTAAACTTCTAATTTTGTCTCTATGAATTTTATGGTTGTTGATTTTAGGTAGTTAGTTGAGGAAAGTTTTCAGATCCTTGAGGTTTGGTTTTGCTTCTAACCCGGGTCTGTATATATTGTATGTAAATGGTATATGAATTTTGAGTAAAAATTCCAAGAAATGCATGGGCTTTCATTATTCATATATATACCATCCATAATCATGTGAAAATATTCCTACAGTTTCTGTCATAATTAATTTTATCATCAACTGCTACTTAGTGGGGTTTTAGCAAATTATTAATATAGGTTTTTTTTTGGCTTTACCAATAGTGCCAGATTCAACTCTTTGTTGTTCATGTGATGAGTAATAAACTTCTTATTATAAATTATAATCAATCCTTCCAAATCTTGATGGCGTTAATTTCATTAAACATTCATTGTGGAGCGGAATCAATACTATTAATGAAACTTACTCTTAAATACTGGAAGGCCATTTTTCTACATATCTCAGTGAGGAGGAGACATAAATTAAGTTTAATCGTAGTAACAAGTGTATATCTCTTATCCAAATTATAAGCAATAAAATAGGATTTTTCTTCTTCTAATTATAAGTAATAATCAATAATTTTTAAAGTTATTTAAGGTTTTTTTTTTATACACTTTATTTATAATTAATTTTATTTTTTATGCATTCACTTATAATTAACTTTAAGGGGATATTTAAAATGGGAGAAGTTATTTCATATCCAGGAATCATATTCTTTGAAATAGCTAAAATATGTTTAGTTTCACATAAAAGTTTATTGAAATATTCATACATGATTTTCATAAATTAGATATTTTTATGTTTGATTTTATAAATATTTTTTACAAAACTATCGTTTAATCATTATATATTACAAATATGATATTAAACTATTTTAAAAATTTGAAAATTATTAAAATTATTTAAATACAAAATTTAATAAAAATAAAAATAATAAAATGTTACATTATAATTAAGAAGAACAAAAATATATTATTTTATTTCATTAAAAAAAGTTTAAAAGTGTTATGATATTTTTAAAAGATTGAGAAAGAGAAAGAGAAATAGAAGAAAAGGTAGAGATATTATTATTTTAAAAATGGATACTAGGATATTTTTATACATAAATGTTTTTTTTAACTCGAAAAAATTGGATTCATTTTCCTTTATAAGAATATTTTTGTGAAAAAGTGAGATAAAATAATTTTCAAAAAATTATATTTGTAAGAATAATTTTTTAAATAACTGTTATATGAAAAATTAAGACTCTTACTTTAATATTTTCAGGAATGTAAAAACATTTCTCGTACAAAGTGTTCTCTAAATATAACAATTACTTAAAATAAATAATATATTTAAAATAAAATTAATTAAAAACAATTATATTAAATTATTTTTTATCTTAATAATTTATTCTATATTACTTATAATTAATAATTAAGATTGGAAACAATACTAAATTCAAAGGAATTCGTCGACTTAAGTCTTCACTTAATTTTATAAATGTAAGTTCCTTATAAATGTAATTTAAGCATGTAATATGTTTTTCTTACTTTAAACATGCACATTATCTTCTCTCCCTAAGATTCTCTCTACCAAAAAAGTATATGAAATATAATATCAAAATATTCTGTTATGAATTATTTAAATTAATATATCTTTTCTCCCTAAAATTCTCTCTACCAAAATAGTATATGGAATATAATATCAAAATATTCTATTGATGAATTATTTTAATTACTATGTATAAAGAGTCTTTGGATGTAACAATCAAGACTACTCCTCAGAGTAGCTTAATCTCTTAATACATTAACATATGTCGTTAACTAATTAAAATAAATCACTATTAATATATCACTTAAAATGATTAAAATAATTATTACAAAAATGGTAATCCTATCACATGATAATTTATAAATGTGATAAAAAAAATTACATCATCGGTATATTTTATTGAATTCTTAAGTTATTTTAGAATTATGTACTAGTAATTAATATGCTCATTAAAAAAATATGAATGTCAAATTTCATTTATCTAAATAAATATTAATTAAATTAATAGTTCTCATTAGCACTTTTCCTTTTTTCTACATTCAACATTAGAGATCCAAAGGATATTGATAATTGAACTACAAGTCAATTGACAAAACTAGCAAGAATCAAGTTAGTTAAGGTTATTTTTCTTTGCGGAATTTTTTGTTGCCATTTTCGTTTGTTTTAATTTCTTCTTTCTTGTGTTGTACCCAATAAAATTATAGTCTAATCCTTCTCTTTTCCTATCACATACACAAACTCAAGAGTGTTATAAGGAAGGTTGGAGAAAATTAAACCCAATCCTTTTATTGCATTTATTTTAAAGTCACATATACATTTTGTATCTATGATTCCCAGCCCCCATTGTTTTCATCTCTTACTTTTTCGTAATTTTTAAAAATTAACTAGCATAAATACAAAACATATGTAACTTTTTTAAATAAATCTAATAGAAAGATTGGGTTTAATTTTCTCATACCTACCTTATAAAACTCTTGAAGTGGACATTCGGATGTGCGATAGGAATGAAATTGGAATTTCTGGATTATAACATAATTTTATTGGCTAAAGAAACTTTGTTCAGAGCCAAATCAAGCCACCCCAGCACTGATAGAGAGTCGATAAGACCTTTATTTGAAGGCTTCTAGTTACTTATTTACCACAAAGACGTTAATTTGAAAGAAAACAAGTTATGAAGGGACAAATGGGGTAATCACCACACATCCAATAATATTGTTAAGGCAGTGGGCTCTAATTAATTATTTGATTAAATTATATAATAACATCTAAAGAGGACAAAATCCAATTTTTTGCCATCAACTTGTTCATATCCATTGTTATTTTTTTAGTTTCCTTTGCTCTCTTTTCTTCATCTTTTTCTGGATTTTCCTTTTACTAGCAAACACAGCTCACATTTACAAATAACAAGTGGTCCAATTAATTCAAGTTTCCAATAAATGTGACCCCCTTTTTCAAATTTATAACTCTTAGGCCCTACTGAACATCATTATTTGTATTTCTTTATTATTTAACTTACGGAGGAAGAGATGAGAATATTGAGCCCCACCTTCTCAATCTATCTCTTCTACATGTTCCTTTAAAAAAAGAGAAAAAGAAATATTATTCTTTCTCTTTATTTGGTCACTCTTGAGTAGTTAATCAAAATAAAGATGGCACACCGCTTTATTCAAAGTTTCACCAAATTTTCTTTTTCTCTTTGTGTAAATAAGGCGTTTTAAATTTAATATGATTAAGTGAAAAAGAAAAAAAAAATAAAGACCAATGTCTAAGTAGTTTTAAACTCAATTTTCTTAAATAAGATTTTTATTTAATAAAAATGATCAATTGGATTTCCAACAAATTAATTATTAAAAAAATAATTCATATCAATAATATCTATAATCTATTTTATAAAAAGAAATAGTCTGATTTGGTATAGATATTTTCTAGACGATTTTACTCTTTAATTTTTAAATAATGAAAAAAAATTAAAAATTAACTATATTTATAAATACAAAACTTGAACTTGAGATCTTGAAATTTAAAAATTAAATACATCATCAATTAATTTAATAAATACTTATAATTCTTATATACTTTTATTAAATAAAATATAGAGGCATGAAATGTTTCGACCTTAATTATTAATATTAGCAAAAGGGATACCTTATTTTAGTGTCCATATTTTTGTTTTTTCTCTTTTACTCCTTAACTAATTTGTTTAACTATTATATTACACACTTTCATAATTTTATCATTTTTATTTTATTTTTTTATGACAAAGCACAGAGTAACTCACCTTTACTAGTAATTATAAAAAAAATAAAAATAAAGAAAACTTTTTTTTTTCATCTTGTGATCTATAAGAAGTGACTTTCAAGAATTTGAGCGTTGTTGCCCCCATCCCCATGTGGTGGTGACAGCTTAGTTGAAGTGGGCCAAAACATGATTGGATATGAAATGGCAACTGCAAAACCAGTCCAAAGAATTGTAGAATCCAAGTTGGAAGGCCTTTTAACGTATATGTAACACCATCAACAATCCATATATATATATATATATAATTTGTTTCGTTTTAAATTTATATTTTCTGTACAAAGCTGTATCACTTGTATCATCATTTATTTATTTATATTAGAAATTCAAATTCAATTCAGTTCAAATTTTAGTTACAAACAATTCCTCTTCATTTAAGCGATAATATATATCACATATTTTTATAATACATTAAAACACTAAATTGAATTGCACTCATCTACTATCGGATTCATGCTTTTTAATTTAGAGAACCATTCATAATTTTGTAATTTTTAGTAAATTTTAATCAACAAAAAATATGTTAAAAGAAATTGTTAAACAGTGTAGTTTTTTTTTTTTTTTTTTTACATAATTAAACAGTACGTATTAGTAGCACTCCATATTTTTATTAAATATTTCTAATTCCCTAAATAAGGGTATGATTCATTAACTTTATTATCTTTTTATAATTTTATGTAATATTTGAATTTGAAATTGAGACTTATACAAATCCTAATTAACCACCGATATACAATGAACTATGGTCTCAAATTTCTTTCATTTGCTGGCTTTCTCCATCTTATTTCACAAGAATTTACGTAACAAGTTTAATTACTCATTGACACCAGTGAGCAATGGCCAAAATTCCCTCTAAAGCTTCTCAATTCCCAGCTGCTCTCAGGGTTCTTGCAATTAATCATGACCCCACGGTTCTTGAATTCATTAAGCAGTTACATACATACACCATATTTAATTGACAAAAATTTAATTTTTTTTGTTAATGTATAGTTTCTATGTTGTGTGCAGTTGTTACATGCACCGCATATCCATTTGCTTTGAATCTTGTGAGGGAAAAAAGAGTTTGCATTGATTTGATGTCAACGCATGAAGTTAAGAAAGCTTTACGGTGTTTGGAGGAAAAATTTTAGAAATTTAAGAAATTTGAAAATTTTAAAATTTGAATTTTAAGACCCGTAAGTTTTTTCCCTCTCATTTTCCTTTCTTTCTCATTCCCTTTCTTGGTTGAACCATGGGTGTTGGTATTTGATTTAGAAGGTTGAGTTGGTGAAAAGTAAGGAAAGTAGCAAGATTATTGTTGGAGACTTCCTCCCCAAAGCATTTTCATTTTCTTCCTCTTCTTCATTCTCATAAGTTTGGAGCTCGGGGTTTCAATCTAATACGAGGTAAGGGAAGCTAAAACTCAAATCGTT